GTCACACACCTGGGGATGATGTGTCTCTGTGTATGTCTCTGTGTGTGTAGCTGTGTGTGTTGTGGGGTCACACACCTGGGGATGTTTGTGTGTGTGTGTGTGTGTGTGTGTGTCTCTGTGTGTGTGTCTGTGTGTATTGGGTTACACACCTGGAGATGATGTTTGTGTGTGTGTGTGTCTGTGTGTGTAGCTGTGTGTTATGGGGTCACACACCTGGGGATGTTTGTGTGTGTGTTGTGTGTTGTGGGGTCACACACCTGGGTGGTGTGTGTGTGTGTCTCTCTGTGTGTGTGTAGCTGTGTTGTGGGGTCACACACCTGGGTTGATGTGTCTCTGTGTGTGTGTGTTTTGGGATAACATACCTGAGATGATGTGTTGTGTGTGTGTGTGTGTTGTGGGGTCACACATCTGGGGGTGATGTTATGTGTGTGTGTTACATGTGTGTCGCGGGGTCTGCACACGTGTGTGATGCTATCTGGAGGTTCTGTTTTGTCCTTTGGGTCCTGGCCTTGCCACCATCCCCACTGCAGACTGAGGGGCTGCGCTCCCCACCCCGCACCAACCCCCACTCCCCGTCCCTGGCAGCAGAGCTCACAGATGTGGCTGCCCGCCCCTGCGTCTTCCTGAGGAGACCATTTTGGACTCCAAACCTTCCTCTGTGAATACTTTGCTGTACAAGTCTCTGCGTCTTGATCCAATTTCTGTGATTTATATTTTCCAGAATTCTCTCTGGTCAGGATTTTGAGATTTATGACCCATGTGCACTCTGCTGTCCTGTGTGCTGGGGGGCTGCCTGCGTCTGCCCTGCCTGCTGGCTGCTGGGAGTGAGTGCGCTGCATTGCTCTCGCCCAGACCAGGGTCGGGGTGCGCCCCTCGCCTGAGCCCCTCACCGCCTGCCTCTGCCTTTCTGAGGGGTGGCAAAGTCTTGCTCAGAGCCCTGCCCTCCTCCCTCACCCCCTCCTGAGACAAAGTTTCTCTGCCACCAGTGGATTCAGAGCTGGCGCAGATGGGGTCTGGGGCTGGAGGTGAGGCCTGCAGACCCCGCCTGGGCAGACCCCATAGAAGTGGAGAGCGGAGGGGTCCTAAAGGACTCCATCAGGTGGGGATGGAGCCCACATTTTAGAGGGAAAATGGGCAGCGTATGGGCATCCTGGCACCACCCTGGCCATAGCAGCATGTGACATGTGCTGGCCAGTCCCCTCCTGAGCCGGCCCCGCAGGTGGCCGGGACGCTCTGCCCTTGGGCAGCCCCCTCACCTCCCCCGTGTCCCCCGGGGCCCCCATGCAGAAGCGAGTGCACGCGGTGGAGGGGGGTCTGCAGCTTTATTCACAGGCCCTGGGGGATGGAGGCAGCAAGGACAGAGATTCAGGTGGGGCTCTGGGGTGGCCTCTCCAGCCCCAGGATGGTCAGGGAGCTCCTGCTGGGATGGTGGGGGTTGGAGGATGCCGAGTCCCACGAGCGACTCCCATGTGCGAGAGGGCGGAGGGTATCTGCCTCGAGGGGCCTTTTTGGCCTCTCTATTTCCAGCGCCCGCCGACTTTGCCCTTGGCTGGGGACCCAGCCTTCTTGCTGCTGCAAATGGGAAGCAGTGGCCCTTGAGTGTCAGGGGCTCTGGCCATGCCCGTCTGGTCCCCCACTCTGGGCAGACTCTCAGCCCAACCCCAGGCTGCTCTCAGGGCACAGGCCCGGCGCAAGCTCGTGGTGTACACCCAGCTTCAGTTCAGGCAGCACTCACTCACCTGTGCCTGGCGGGCCTGGGTTGTTAGTGTGGTTGGGGGCCGGCCATGTGAGCCCGGGGCACCCTCCCTCTGTCCTCCCTTCCTTGCCCGAGGTGCCACTGCACACAGACTCCCGAGCTAGGGAAGGCTGTCTTGGCAGATAATGATAACCCTCCCGGGCACTTGGCCTCCAAAGAGCTCCTGCCCCTCCAGACAGAGGCCTTGGACGGGTGGCGGTCCCAGGAGCCTGCCCCGTCTGTCCGAGGCCTTCACGTGGCTGAGAGCCAGGAGGGGTTGGGTGCAGGTAAGGGACTGAGGCAGGCGGAGGACAGGAGTGCCCGTGCCCCCAAGGCTGGCCCCTATCAGATTCTGGCTGAAGGCCGTGCCCTCACCCATGCTCCTGAGCACCCTCAACGCACACACACGTGCACACACGCAGGCACAGGCACATCTCGCCAATGCCCGTCTGACCCCTGACCACACAACAGGGAAGCTGTGAGGTCGCCTGCAGCATGGAGGAGCTGGCCCTGGGGGCCTGGGGGAAGCCGGGGCCATGGGAGGAGGGGAAGAATCCTAGAGCACATCCGAGTAGCCCCCAGGCACGGTGATCCCTGGGGAATGGAACTGGCTGTGCAGCCAGGCTCGGTGACAGGATCCCCAGTGTGGTACCGCCAGGAGCGCCCTGGGTGCAGGCCCATGCAGGTGGGTGAGCAGCTATGCCAAGGGTTCCCACAGCTCCTGTGGGGACCCGATTTTATGGATGAGGCGTCACCATCCAGAGGAGTCCGTGTTTTTGTCTGGCATCACAGAGGGCCTGGGACGAAGCCCTGGCTGCTTAATTCCCTGCCCTAGGTCCCCTTAGAGGGTGGAACACTGGTGGACACCCTGGGGCCCAGGTTGGCCACAACAAAGGACGCCTGGAGCGGCCCCGTCTAGGGGTCCCATGGCTGCCCTCTCCCTGCAGCCAATGACAGACGCGGGATGAGGGCGTGATGGGTGAGCCCCACTGGGCTCCCTCCTCCTGACTCTGCCATCCCCCAGGGCTCCTCTGCATGCAGCGGGTCAGGAGGCTCTGGGTCCCTGACCACAGGCCTGCACATGCTGGCCCCAGTGGCCTGGACGGGTTAGTCTCACAATGGCCCTGCCGAGGCCAGCCACCACCGACCACCACCAGCCCTTGTTAGGGACTGGCTATGGTGCCGGCTCCGCGGGCCCCTGTGCCCGGTGCGGAGCAAGGACAGCAGGGCTACTCACTGCTTCTGGGCCTGGTCGATGCGGCTCCTGAGCGTGGTGATCTGTGGACAACACGAGTGACTCACTGTGACGACCCAAGGGCCAGGCCTGGGGGAAGGCCCGCCTCCGCTGCAGTGCGGGCTGGGCTGCGAGACCCAGAGCTGCTGGGCCCCACGCGGGCTACTCGGCTCCCTTACTGTCTCCTGGCTCCTTGCGCTGGGGGACACCGTCCGTGGGCCCTTGGGCTCATGCCTGGACTTATTCTCGCCGGCCTGTACTGGCCTGGGCTGCCACACACAGCAGCCCGGAGCTGGCCACTTACCTTCAGCCTGCGGCAGGCTGCGGGGCAGGGGGCACGGAGCATGGATGGGGCGGGCGGGGCAGGTGAGGCCTGCAGACCCCCCTTCCCAGCTCCGGCTCCCTTCAGCCAACGAGCTCAGAGCCCGGAGTGTACCTCCTGCTCCTGGGCCAGCCACTCCCGCCGTCCTGCCTGCCCCCGGGGTACTCTGTGGCCGCTCCTGGCTTGAGGTGGAGCTCCTGGGAAGGTGAGGCCCTTCCTCACTTGCCATCAGGGCAGTGGCCACTGGGCAGCCTCCGGCTACAGGCATGAGGGAAGAGTTGGGCAGAAGGAAGGCTCCAGGCCCCCTGCCGCCAGCATCCTGAGTGACCCAGGTTTTTGCCATGCGAGAGGTTCACCTCACCGTGCAGTGCACACCCACAGGCCTGGCCCAGGACGGACCCGGCTACTTACAACTTGGCCAGCATCTGCACTCTGGCCCGGACATTCATGATCTAGAAAGACCAAGATGGTTACAAGGCTGGATGGGTGGCCGAGGCAGTGAGGCCCTGCTGTGGGCTGGGCTGGCCTGGTGATGGCCCTCCAGGCTCTGGAGCCCCTGGGGACCTGCTGTGACCAGAGCTTATGCAGAGCCAGTGGGTCCCTGACTCAGCCCTGGGAACACAGCATGGGAAGGCCTGGGTCCTGTGCGGTAAAGGCCATATCAGGGCCAGCCCCTCTGGGAGAGTCCCGAGACTGAGGTCAGGCCTGTCCTCCATGCCTGGAGCCCCTGGGGACCGCTGTGGGAGGGAGTGCAGCCATCTGCCTCTGTTGGAGGGGAGCTTGCGGAGGCTCAGGAGGACCAGGTGCCCAGAGCCCCTGAGAAGGAGCTCGGATTTGCCTGGCTGGCGTGGACTGGTTGCCCAGCCCCGCTGCACCTGCGTGAGCAAGGCCTCATGAGCACAGCTGCGCTCCCCTGGGGCCCCTGGCGGTGCTGGATGTTGGACGTTGTGGTCTTGATGGTGATGCTGGAGTGTCTGCATTTGCCCCTAGCACACGGATCACTCATGGCTGCGCCCCTCGCCCCTGGAGCCCACTTGTGTGTTTGGGAGGGTGGCAAGAAGCTTGGCTTCCTCCCTGGCTCCCACGTTGTACCCCAGCCCCCGAGGCTGCCTAGGCAGGCTGCCTTCCCGAGCCCCAGCTTAGCCTGCAGCGATGGAAGGTCACCCTGTTCTGTCCCAGAGGCGCATAGTCCCAGGCTCCCTGTCCCAGCCTCAGGGTGCAGTGTGTCGCCCCCTCTGCCTGCCCCGAGGAAGCAGGTGTCGTGGGCCCTGGTGGAAGGTTCGCGGAGGAGCTATTCGGAAAGGACGCCTCACACCGGGGGGCTCAGTGCCCGGGAGCTGAGCTCAATGACGATGGGGACTTTCTATAAGCTTACAGGGGTTCAGAGAGTGGACCCTGAGTCCACTCGGCCATGGCCGCTCTCCCATGACAATCCTCATGGCCAGGGTGACCAAGGCCACCCAAGGGCAAGGTTCCTTGCTCAGGGTGCTGTATGGCCAGCCAGGAGGATGGGCTCTGGCCACAGTCCCCAGCGAGAGAGCAGCCCCAGCCAGGGGTCAGTGGCAACAGCCTGTGTGGGCCTCGTAGGGCCCAGGCCCCTGGGGTGGGTAGGTCCAGAGTTTGGTAGGGGTGCAGGAAGGTGGCGGCCCTGGCTGGCAGGTGAAAGCCGCCGTGGCCCCAGGGCTGGAGGGGCTGGGACTCACATCATATTTCTGGCGTTTCAGCTTCTCCCCAAACTCAAACTTGTCGGTCTCCAGCTGGTACAGGGTCTCCCAGAGCTCCTTGGCCTTGTCCCTGGGGCAGAGAAAGTGGCAAGGCTTCGGTGAAAAAGTCCAAGGCAGCGCCGGGCCCCTGGAGTGCTCCTCCAGCCACCGAGGAGCCCAGCCTTGGCAGCTCCTGCAGAGCCGCCCCCTGGGGCAGAGCCCCACTACCCCCGCCCCTTACCTCAGCTTGTCTTCACCGAGGTGGTCGATGTTGAGTGGCTTGCGTCTCTCGGCAAGAATCTTCTTCTTCATTTCGCGTGCCGTCTGCTTCTTGCCTCTCTTCTGGTCAGCCTGTAGGGAACAGGCCCAAAGAGAGGGGCTCGGACTCAGGAGGGCGCAGGGCGCAGCCCACACTGAAGGCGGCCAGCGTGCTCCCAGCAGCGGCAGGCACGCACCTTGGCCAGGTAACTGCTGTAGTTCGCTCCCATGGAAGACAGGGCCTTCTTCTTCTTCAGGTCGTCCTCTGCCCTCCTCTTGGCGTCCTCCTCCTCCCTTCTGGCCTTTTCCTCCTGTAGAGACCCGTCCCCGAGACGTTCAGGGATGGAAGGAGGACTGTGCCTTCTGGGCAGCCTTTAGGGACCCACCCCGGGCTTAGAAGTGTCTGGAAGGAAGCTCCAGGTCTTGGCCCAGGTGTGTTCTCTTGCAAGGGGTCCTGCAGGGTGTGGGGGCCTCAGCCAGTGGCTCTGATCATCGGCTGGCGACACTGGGAACCCCAGGAGGAGGAAGGCCTCAGCCTCCCGAATTTCTCTGTACGTGGGGCTCAATGGCAGAGGCAGGGGTGGGGATGGTGCTGTCCTTACTGCCAGTCTGTTCTGGCGCTCCCTCTCCTTCTCTGCACGAATCCTCTGCTGCTCTGCTCTCTCCGCACGGCGCTTCTCCTGCAGCCAGAGAAGGGGGTCTGCTCAGCCCTGCCCCCAGCTCCTCCGAGGGTGCCCACCAGCCCCTGCTGCAGCCTGAACCGCCCACTCACGATTCTCTCTTTGAGAGCGATCAGCTCCTCTTCCTCCTTCTTCCGGGCTTCAAAATGGCTGTCGATGAGGGCCTGGAGCTCCATGAGGTCTTTGTTCTGACGCTTCTTCTGGATATCCTGTAGGCAGGGGCAGTGGGTGTCAGCACTGCCCTTCCTCCAACCTCTGCCCTGCCTGGCCTGCCTTGCCGCACGAGGCCCTGTCTCTTGCTCCAGCAGAGAAGCCCTGATTCCCTTGGCCACCACGAACATGGCAGGGACAGAAAGTTTTGCCTTCTCCACATTGCCAAGCTGCTATCCTCATCGGGGCCGGGGGTGGCCTGATTCCTGAGCCACAGAGCAGGGATGGTGCCCAGCTAGAAGGTCCTCAGCATCCTTGGGATGGACTGGCTCTGACTTGGCTCTGTCATCATCCTCAGAGATGCCCAGCATGGGCCTGGCAGAGGGAAGACTGCTGAGCGAGATAAAGTTGTTGGATAAATAGATGGGTGTGTGAACAGATGAACTGATGGACAGGTGGATGACTGCCAGAGGATGGAGGCAGATGAGTGGGTGGGTGGATGGATGGTTGGAGGAATGTGTGGATGTATGGGTAGGTGGATAGAGGGGTGGAGGGATGGATGTGTGGATTAACGGCTAGAGGATGAGTGGATGGGTGGGTGAGTGGGTGGGTGCGTGGATAGATGGGTGAATGAATGGGTGGGTGGGTGGTTGCGTGAGTGAGTGGATGATAGTGGATGAGTGAGTGGATGAATGAGCGGTATGCATAGATGGATGGGTGAGCGGATGGGTGGGTGAGTGAGTGGGTGGGTGGACAGGTGGGTGAGTGTATGGATGGGTGGTTGGGTGGGTAGATGGATGGATGAATGAGTGAGTGGATACGTGTCTGGTTGGATGGATGGTTGGGTGGGTGAGTGGGTGGGTGGGTGATTGCATGCGTGACTGGATAATGGATGGATAAATGGCTGGCTGGGTGGGTGGATGGGTGGGTGGGTGTATGGGTGAGTGGATAATGGACGGATGAACGGATGGATGGGTGACTGGGTAAGTGGATAGTTGGAGACATGGGTGGGAGGGTAGCTGGGTGGGTGGGTGGTTGTATGGGTGAGTGGATAATGGATGGATGAACGGATGGATAAATGGTTGGGTGGATGGGTGGGTGGGTGGGTGAGTGTATGGATGGGTAGGTGAATGGGTAGGTGCTTACATGGGTGGATGGATGGATGGACAGAAGGATACATGGAGGAGAAAGGAAGAGAGATGTTTATTTTTAGAGGGGTTTCCTGTGGTCCAGGACTATGTTATGGTAGAGTTGCCCAGACCCAGGTGGCCCCAGCTCTGCCTGCTTGGGAGAAAGTGACCTTCTGAGGCCTAGCCCGGAGCCCAAAAGCTGGGGTTTGGGGAAATGGTGGCCATGTCAACCAGAGTCCTGTAAACTTACATCGAAGTCCACCTTCTCCCCTTCTGGGATCTTAGGAGCAGTGAGTCTAGAGAGACAGAGAGAGGCCTGTGAGCAGAGACCTGGGGACCCACCCCAGAGGGTCGGCTTGGTGCTGTCCCTCACCTGGCCCCTGCTGGCCCTGGTGTCCTCCTGCCCTGGCCCCCAGGCGAGGATGCCCTGCCTAGTGGCACGTCTGCCCCAGCTTAATCTTATGAGGTTTGTAGCCCACCATCCCAAGAGTGGCTTGAGTCCCTCAAGAAGGCTTTAGCTTCCGGCGCCCCCAGCTCCCTTTCGGCTTCTGGCCATTGCAAGTGTCACGGCACCCCAGCTACCAGGGAGGGCACCTCCGTTTCCTTCTCAGATAAACACACACAGCCAGGTCAGGTGAGAAGCTACGGCCACCATGGGAGGCGGTGGCCTCTGTGGCAGGAACAGCTGCTGGGAGCCTGCGCCTTTCCCCAGCCCCTCTTTTTCCCCAGCCCCTCTTTCATCTTTCTCTCTGGGGGCCCAAAGGGAGGAGAGGGGGCAGGGAAGAATGCAGTCTGGAGGGGAAGCAGGGCCCCTCTCCGGCTGGGTGTGGGGTCCGCTCCTCTCAGCAATACATTCCAGATGCAGCAAAGAGTTAAAACAACAACAACGATTTTTTCCAACAAACCATAGAAGAAAGTAGAACTAAATATCAATCAAAAACTGGAGCGGGAAAGGGTTTCCTAAGCTCAGAGGCACCAGAAGGTGCCTCTCAGGGAAAGAAGGCCAGATGACTCCAGGCAAATGAAAAACTTATGTATGTGCGTAAAAAAGCAAGATGGAAAGGCAAAAAAAAAAAAAAAACACCCACCAAAAATAAAAAACCAGACTAAAAAAATATTTTCAGCAAATACAGAGAAGACTTATATCCTTATGCAAACTGATGATTAAGAAAACACGGAGACGCCTCCACCATGAGGCAAATGAGCAACGGACAGAGCTACCAATTCTCAGAGAAGAAAGACGACCCATCCACAAACACAGGGAAATGCTGGCCCCGAGTGACTCTGGGGGCGCAGAGCCAGACAGCTATGAGATGCCGTTTCCCATCCATCAGAGGCTTCGACGTAAAAGCACGTTTCTGTCCTCGGGTGAGGAGGGTGTGGGGTATGGACTCGCTCACATCCCACGTAGGAGACAGCGCTCCAGGCCGTTGTGGAAAGCAATTTGGCACGGCATGCCAGAGCCTTAAGAACATTCATACTCTTTGACCCAGTAATTCCAGTTCTGGGAATGTAGCCTACGGAAATAACCCTAAAGACAGAAAACGCTTTCCAAGCAGCGTTATTTATGATAGTAAAATATTGAGGAAAGCCTGCAAGAGGGGAATGGTTAGGAAAATTATGGTTTGTCCAATTGATGGAATATTATGTGGCCATTCAAAATATTTAAGAAGACTATGTAAAAACATGGAAAAATACTTATGAATAGTGCTAAATTTTAAAAAAGCAGAATTCAAGGCTGTATAGACAGTACGATGTTTGAAAAACAGCACAGAGTTTATATCCTTTTTTCCATGCCTTGGGCTTGGAAAAAAGGAAGAAATAGGGCTTTTTATTTCTCTCTGCTCTTTTCCACAGTCTGGCTGGCTGGGTAGGAGAATTATAGACGACTTTTTTTCTTCATTCGACTTTTATGTATTTTCCAAATTTTCTTTAATGAGGTGTTTTATTTTCATAATGAAAACACAAACAATTTTTCTAAAATGAGAAAGTATCTCGTGATCAGGCATTACTGTACTTAAAATCGCTGAAAAATAAAGTGCAAAGGATGGAACTGTGCCGGCCCTGCCCTTAGATGTTCTCACTCTTCTCCGGAGAGTCTACAGGGCTCCCCAAGCAGAAGCCGGCAGAGTGCGTGCTGAGGGGCTCTCCGTGAGCGCGCGCTGAGGGGCTGGGGGAGGCCACCTCGTGCAGAGCAAGACTCGGGCAAGGGCAGTTGAGATAAAAGGGTGAATTGCGCAGTGAGTGCTGCGGCTTGTGAGTACTGATCAAAAGCAGAAGAATCACAAGAGCTGCACTGAAAACATGAGTCCACGAAGTGTTCACACGCGGGCATGGTGAGGACGAGGTCCTCTGAACTCTGCCTCAGAGGGGAGCAGGGGCCCTGCACAGCGGGCTGTTTGGACATGGTCAGGGTGTCCTTCTGAAGTGGTTTTCTGGGGTGAGACCCCTCTTTCTTCCACTTGCCGACTCCCTTTCCTGTCGGTTGTCACAGCTAGGTACTATGACTGGGGATGGTACGGTCCCCCAAAGGCCATGGGGTGTGGTGGTCGCCCGATTCCCTGTACCCCAGCACCCCACCTTCCTTCCTAAACTCTCTCCCGCCCACCTCTCCTCCTTCCTTCCTTGTCAGTAGCCTCCTCCTGCAGGAAGCCCTCCTTCTCTGCACCGGATGACCCTGCTGGGCCTCCCAAGTCCACCTCCCAGGTGACCCTGGTCTCTCCCACCCTGCGCCCTGAGTATCCATCCTTCCAAGTGCAGGCTCCAGGCATCTGGCCGTGTCCTGCGCTCAGCCCCACCGCAGAACACACTTGGCCAGGCCCGCCAGGACCCCACACTCACTTGGGTCTTGGCTTCTCCTCTGTTCAGCGCAGCACCAGCATGGGGGAAGGAGAGAGACAGCCAGGGTGAGAACAGGCAGCCTGGGGCCCTGGGTTCCCCCTCGCTGAGGGCCATCCTCCTTTCCAGCTGTCTTCCCACCAACCCCCAGAAACAAGAAGACCCTGTTTCTGCTCTAGGCCTGCAAAAGCCCATGGCGGGGTTGGAAGGGAAAAGGTCAGGGAGGAAGGGTGAGGAAGACAAAGGGAAGAAATAGGAGCGAGACCGCAGCATCCTCGAAGGCTGCGGAGGGAGGGGAGGGAGGAGAGAGGACAGGGGCTTGGGATGAAGATTGGGAAGGAAGGGGCTTGGGGGAAAGAGGAGCGGGGCGCGCCCTGCCTGGGCTCTGGCGCTGCTGGCTGGTCCTGCTTACTCCCCCTCCACTGTGTGGCAGAAGCTGGGAGTAGGGGCACCCTTGAGGCCCCCACAGCCCGACCCTGGCGGCACCCTGCGGAGCAGCAAGGCCTGCAAGGCCTGGCTGTCGGAGACCCCCATGCCAGGGGAAGAGAAAGAAGAAGGACAGAGGGAGTGGGAGGCAGGGCAGTGAGAGAGCGCCTGTCCTCTTCCTCATGTCGGCCAGAGCCAGGGTCCTGCACCCCCAGCAGCGGGGTGGGCCCTTACCTTCTGCATCCTCCTCTGCGATGTCTTCGAGGCGGCACAAGCGCACATGCAAGAGAAAAGCCAGGGCGGCTGCGGGGGGCTGCGGGGGGCTGCGGGGGGCTGCGGGGGTCTGCGGGGGGCTGCGGAGGGCTGTGGGGGGCTGTGGGGCAGCTGCAGGGGTCTGCGGGGGGCTGTGGGGGCCTGCGGGGGGCCGTGGGGGGCCGCGGGGGGCCGTGGGGGGATTGCGGGGGGCTGTGAGGGGCTGCCGGGGGTCTGTGGGCACGGGGCCCACCCCTCTTGCTCAGACCCACCCTTCCCCAGGGTGTGCCTGTGGGGCCAGTGAATCTCTGCCTGTGGGGGATGGAAGGGGCTGGGTGCCCAGTGGAGCTCTGCCCTGAAGACCTGGTGGAGAGCAGGAGGGACATGGATACCTCTCGGGGCAAGGCCGGAAGCTAAGGGCACTGGGTCTCATCTGTCCCCCCAGCCTGTCCTCTTGGGTCTGGAATCTGAGACCCAACCCAAAAAGAGGGCACTGCAGCTGGGTGGGTGCAGCCCTTGTCTTGGAGCCTCCCGGCGCCTGACCCCTGCCTTTGAAGCCTGTGTTACTGGGTGGAACTCAGCAGGCCATGGAGTGACTACAGGCCCTCAGGCCTCAGAAGCCTCTGCCGGCAGCGTGAGTTCTAACTCCTGGCTGGTCTCAGCCCTACGAGCCCCTCCCTGAGTCCAGAATGTCCACCACAGCCCCCATCCACAGGCCAGGGGCCCAGGCGTGCTCACCCCGACCTCCCCAAGGCCTGCCCTCTGACTGTCACATGGCTGCTCTCCCGAGACTGGGATGGGCCCCTCTGGGACCCCCGTGCTCCCTCTCCCTGGCTGGCCTGGCCCGGCTGAGGCCCGGGAGGGGTTCTGCCGCCAGCCTTGTGGCACCCACCCACCCTGTCCCTTCAGTCTCTGCTCTGGGCCTTAGTTGGCCATCGACATGCGATGCCCTTGGCCCTCGGAGTCTGACCTGGCGCTGTCCTCTGCACTTGGTTGAGGCCAGCAGGCCTGGGCCCAGGGGTAGGGTGGGGGTCCTGCCTTGCCCACGCCTGGCCCGGGGTTCAAGGGCCTCTAGTCCTCCTTGATGGCAGACCGCTTGGTGGCCTGGGAGCCCCCTGCACAGCACAGAGGACCCATGGCACCCTTGGTTTTGCATGTGGGCCTGAGTCACCCGTTCCGGACACCTTGGAGTGGGGTGCACGGGAGAGAGTGGTGGGGCGTCCTGCTCGCAGAAGCCTGGCTGAGGGCCCGGAAGGAATGGCGTGATGAGGATGATGGATGGGCTGCTGGCCCCGCATCCCTGATTTGGGGGTTTTGCTGGATGCAACGCCTGCCTGAGGAGCCCCTTGGGGTGGGAAGGCTGGCCAGGGCGGAGGCGAGGTCAGGTGGGAGGCTGAGCGCTGGGGGGAGCGACCACACAGCCAAGTGGCAAAGCTGTCCTGGCGACCCTGCCTCCTCTGCTCCTGCCGCCCCCCTGCTGTCTGTCTGTCTGTCCGATTGCCTCAGTGCTGGCTCCAGAGCCACCCGGCGCCCCTGTCACCTCCACATCTCCTGGACACCTTCTCCTGTGAGGCTGGAGCCCCTTCCCCCTCCAAGCACGTCCCTTCTAGTCCAGGGGCCTCTCTGAGGCTGGAGTCCTGCCAGAACTCAGGCCCAGCAGGGAGGAGGCCCTCAGCCCCACAGCCGCTGAGAACGGTGGGGGGCGGTGCCGAGAAGCACTTCCCAGCTGGGGCCCCTGCTCTGAATCTGCAGCTTTCTGACCTCCACCCAGGGGTACGGCCGGCCCCACCGCCAGGGAGGGCAGGCCCACCCAGGGGGCCTCTCACACCGGGTGTGTCTGGCTCGGGCCCAGGCGATGGGTGGGATGCCGGGACCTGGCTGCGCCTTTGCACGCATGGCCCCCGGCTGTTCCGGGTCCCCACGTCCCCACCTTGGGCCTCAGCCTGCCTTTCTGCTTCGCTCCACTTGCCCCTCCACCCTCCCTTCCACCTCACCCCTCCCTACCTTCCTGCTTCTGGCTTGCTAACTGGAGCAGGGTGGAGACCTGCCCTCCTGGGCTCTTCCCACCCCACCCTGGTGGATCCAGAGGGTCCCAGTGGACCCCAGCACTGTCCTCCCAAGGCCTGCTCTGCCTGGGCCTCAAGCCTGGCCACCCCCACCTCCCACCTTCTTGTTGGCGGCCCAGGAAGAGCCTCGTCGTCCCCAAGCTATGAAATCCTCTTTGCCTGGGAGACCCAGAGGAAGCCCTCACCCCATTAGCCAGGACTTCCTAAGCCAGGGTCCTCACTCTGTCCCCAGCCCAGAGGCCAGAGCGGGCTAAGCTATTGGTGGCGAACATCACAAGGGGTGGGCAAAAGGGAGAAAGCGGGAGAGGACAGAAGGGAGGACGGGGGCTCTGGAGTCTGGAAAGCGCCGGCATACCTTCTTGAACTTCCTCTGCAGAAGCAGCATCGTGGTGTGGTGGGCAGAGAGGGTGGGAGGGAGAGAGAACCAGTGTGAGAGGGGCGGTGCGGAGAGCAGGGGAGGGCAGGGCTGGGTGGCGCGGGGAGCAGGCCGGGTGCTGCTGGCTACGCGGCCCCTCTTGTTCCTTCTTGGGTCCTGCGCTCCCCACATGGCCACAGGTGCCCATGTGGCGTTGAAGTCATGCACGTACCTGGCTCATGAACTTCATGGGCCAAGGAGGCCACGGAACAAGAGGCAAAACCACGGGTCAGAGGTCAAAGGAAGAGGGTCCGAGGTTAATGGAAAAGCAGCCCGGTCGCGTGCAGGGAGCGAGCAAGACAGGGTTGGAGTTAGCCCAGGTGCGGCCACCGCCCCAGTCCCACGTCCTCAAACCCTGCTCTCTGCATCCCCAACATACTCTGCCTCACAGGTGGGGAAACTGAGGCTTGGAGGGTGGCCGGGAGCTGTGGCTCTCGGCCTTGTGGAGCACGCTCGGCACTGGGGCTGGGCCTTCCTTTGCTCACCACCATCCCCTCTCTGTCCTGGGGATCCCCCAGAAGGGTGTCCCTGCCTTTGGACCGGGCACCAAGGCCCATGAGCAAGGTTGTAGCCTGGCTGGCTGGGTGGCACCAGAGGCCCACAAGGACATGGCTGGCAGCCCTGGGAGGTAGAGCCACAGATGGGCCGTGGGAGGTGTCCCCAGGACCCCCACTTCCTGGCATCCCAACAGCTGGGGACCCACTTGCTCTTTGCCTGATCAGATTGTTCCCACCCTCCGAGGGTGCTAGCAGCCCCAGGTGACACTGATGGCTCTGCCTGCTGATCTGGGCATGGGACCTAGCCCTCCCATCTGCCCCTAGCCTGCGTGAACCCCAAGGGTCCCGCAGCAGAGGGCTGTGAGGGGGTCTGGGGTACTGGCGCGGGCACGAGTCTGAAGGAGCTGACCGTGCCGGGCTGCAGGGCTCCGCCCCAGCTGCCTTCTCTCCCCTCATCCTGTGCTGTCCTGAAATGTGGCCGGGGGTCCTGGCCAGGCCCAGGGGTCGACACCACCACGGGCTCTGGGCTGCCCTCCGTGGGGTGGAGGGCTAGGGTGGGCCTGTTTCTGGCCCTGCAGCATCCCCTCTGCCCCATGCCTGGGGATGCCCTGCTGACCAGCAGCCCAGCCCACACCTGCCTGGGGAGTCCCTGGCCCTGCTACCTGGGGGGCTGCGGGGAAGGGACCTACCCTCGAGGACTCATGCCCTCTCTGGTGTCAAGCATTGGCTGTGGTTAGTGGATTATGTTAGGGCCACATGTGGGGGCCCCTTGGCTGGCTGGCACCTCGTGGCTTCCCCACCCCTCCCCCACCACCATGTGGGCTCCAGCCAGGCCCCGGGCCCCACATGGGGACCAGAAGTCCTGGGTCCTCATACCTTCCTCATGGACTTCTGCAGCTGAGGAGAGCCGGGGTTTGCAGGTGGCAGAGGGAGAGAGGAGAGGGTTAGACAGGGACACACGGCAATCCTTAGAGGCGGGGTGGAGGTCAGTGTTGGGTGGGACAGGAAGGCTGGGGGGTGGGCATGGGGGCCGGGGCCTTGGACCCCACTTACCTTCCTCCTGGGCTTCCTCTGAGAGCCGGAGAAGCCGGGAGCAGGAGAAGGTGGGGTTGGGGGAGAGCGGGAAGAGAGACAATCATGAGAGGAGTGTATTTGGGCTGCAGGGACAGGAGGCCGCCAGCCTGGAGAAGAGGGCCTGGAGCTGGCTTGGCTGGTGAAGGATGGGGGTCAGTCCTTCATCTCTGGCCAGCCCTGGCAAGCAGGGACTCCCACCAACTGAGCTGGTCACTGTCAACTAGGCTGGGCCCAGCCGGGGGGTTTCTGAGGCCTCATCCTCCTCCTGGGGCCCTGGTATTCCCATGCCCGGAGGCGTTTGTGCACAGAGGCCCTTGCTAAGTCCTGCTCTGCAGGTGACACAAGTGAGGATGGGGACAAGACCCACAGGCCTGCGTGAGGCCTGGCTCTGAGCGCCCCTGGAAATGAGGCTGGCACTGAGGTGTCTTCGGGGACGTGCCACAAGAAGACCCTTCTGTGGTTGCCCCAAGAGAAAAGAAGGCTCTCCAGGGCCACATGTCCCTCACGGAAATGAGGCTTTCCACCTTTTCGGCAGAGAAAGAAATGTTTTGCTCACGTTGTTAGGGTAGCCAAGTGTTTTCAAAATATTTTCAAAACATAGCACTCAAGACTGCTCACAGGACAGCCCAGCCTGTTAGGGTTGCGTGAACCTGCTCCCCGGTTGAGTGGGTGCCAGGGATTCCGGGGCAGTGCCGTCGGCCTGAGAACCGCCGCCCCGCACAGTTCCCAGGTGCGCCCACACCCGCCCACGCCTGCCCGAGCACGATGGAGACGCCCACAGACCACACCTGGCCAGCGCAGGGAGGGGGCTCCAGGCTCCACCCAGGGTTACAGCACAGGGTTGGGGGTGTATGGAGAGATGGAGACAGACAGAGATGGAGATGGGGGTGGAGAAATGGGGACAGAGAGGCCAAGAGGGACAGAGACTGAGAGACAGAGGCAGGGAGAGACAGAGACTAAGAGGCTGAGAGATACAGAGACAGAGAGAAGCTGAGAGAGACACTGGCACACAGAGACGAGGGTGCCGGGAGAGACACGGAAGGGAACTAGAGACATGGAGAGACATGAGATGCTGAGAGACGCAGCGCTGGGCATGGCAGGGCGCTTGGTGTTAATGAGAGTGAGGCCTTCATGAGCAGCCCCGGGAGCCCCACACACCATGGCACACGGAGGATGAAGGATTAATGAAGGACCACGAGTATATATTAATCCACTAAAGAGATGGGGTTAGTGATGATCTCATGACTGTCATTCATCATTAATTAAGTGATGGCCTCATTCGTCAGTCATTAATGATGAGTCGTTAATGATGAGGAAGATGGACAGTGGATATTGATAAGCTAGAGGCGGCCTGGAGCAGCCTGGGGAGGGGACTTCTGTGAGTGACACACTGGAGAGGGGGGTTAAGGAGGGGCTGGGGGGCTTCCGGCGGTTGCCGGAGTTACCTTCTTCTTCGTACTGCTCTGCATTGGGACAGAACAAAAGAGGGGACCACGTTAGACAGGGCCACCCGTGAAGGGAGGGGGAGGATGAGGAGCCAGCATGTCCCGGCTCTAGACAGACCAGCGATTCCCCCTGGCCAGTGGCGGGCAGTCGGGGGTCCTTGGGCCCAGGGGAGGCACTGGGGAAGGCAGAGGCTCTGGTGATGGTGGTCGCTTTTAGGGGGCTCAGGGGTCCTGGATGCCCATGTCCCACACTGGGTGTGAGAGAGGCGGAGATAGGACCCAGAGCTGGACACGTCCCTGCAGGCCCCTCAGGACCGTGTGGCTACGCATTGGGGAAGAGACGAGGCCCCCAGTCGGACAGCTATTTTCTTTGGGTTGCTCAGAAGCCAGCCATGGGATGCAGCCGATGTCTGCTGCCAAGGGGACCCATGGTATACACAGCCCAGCCCCTGCCCATGTGTGACCCTTCCATCTAGAGCAGGAAGGAGAATGGCTGTTACACTTACCCTCCACCTGTTCACTGTGGGGCCGGAGGAGAGAGAGAGAGATAGAGATAGAGAGAGAGAGAGAGAGAGAGGTGAGGCTGCATTTGTGCAAACGTTAGCGTGTTCTCCAGCCCCGCCAAGCCAAGGGGCCGGGGTCCCGAGCCGGGTGGGGGTCGGCCTCCAGCTGAGTACTCACACTTCCTCGTCAGACATGGTGAAGGTGGGTGGTTTCTGCAGAGAGACATTGAGAGAGAAAGAGGACGGAAAGAGAGTGAGGAGCTGCCTGGGCAGAGGGCAGGAGGTGGGCTCTAAGAGCAGCGCTGTGGGGGGACTGCAGGCAGGGTTTAGGGGCCAGCTCTGGCCTTGGGCAAGTCTACCTCCTCGGGCCCCCCTTCCCCCAGGGCTCCCAGCCCCTCCCAGCCCTTGGCGTCCCTGACTCTGTCCCCTCTTCCAGCCCTGGCTCCGGCCTGGAGCTTGGAATCTTGGAGCTGGACGGGATGTTGGAAGGCCGTGGTGTCCACCCCACCCGGGGCAGACATCCTCTCTCTAGCGTCCCCTGAGGGGGTCATCCAGAATGCAGGGCGTATGCCGTCCAGCCCACTCTGTACACAGGAAGATCTTGCTGATGTGGCTGAACCCTGTCTCTGAATATTCTCTGCCCATCGGGTGTAGGTGGGTTTCATCGTGAGCCCCTGGGTGACCAAGGCTGGCTCTCCGAGATGGGGAGTCTGCTCACCCTACTGTTCCCTGTGAGAACGCCTCTTCCCTGTTTGAGCCCAAAGCTCCCTCTGTGCCTGTTTTCCTCTGGGATGCCCAGAGGCCCTGGTGTGCCCCCCACACCCCTCCGAGGACCCCTCCTGATCAGGGAGCAGGGAAGCTGTTCTGTCTCCTGAAGACATCGTGCTGAGCCCTGGAGTGCGTTGAGTTGGGTCTGGGCTGTTTCTCCTGCGTCCCCTGAGCTGGGCTTCGTGCCAGGCACACTTGGACTGCAAGCAGCCCCCCACCATTTCCCTCCCTGTGGCCCCTTTCCCCGGCCCTGGGCATGCACTGGATCTGTCTCTGCCTAGGGGAAGCTCCGTGCCCGGGACTGGCCGCCCTGTCCATGTGCGGTGGTGGCCCCAGGCCAGCGAGCTGGGGACCATCTCTGTGTGAGCTGGCCACCACGCACACCGGTCGGCCGGGCCTGGGGAGACGCCGAGCAGCTGCACCATGTTGGCCGGGGTTTTAGAAACAAAGTTCATGACAACACAGCACAGATCACTGGAAGACAATAGTTACGGCCCCCCCTGGGAGTGCTGTATAAGAAAAACACACGTTCATCAGCTAAAAATGCATCCACGTTGCATCGCTGAGGTGGGAAGCGTTTTCCAAACCCTCGGTCAAGAATGTTAATTTTCCCAGAGCAACTTAAGATCCATGCGAAATTAACCAGCAGATAGCTATCTTCCAGGCGATGGGGGCGGCTTTTTCCTATCCCAGAATCTCTTCCTGAGACTCTGCTGCCCCTCAAGTTCAGCCTCGTGTAACTGCCCCGGCTGGGCCAGTCTCAGTCCCACCAGCCAGAGTTGCCCAGGCCCCCAGTGTGAACCCGCTCTGGCCACTCACTGGCCCCCCGGGCTTCGCTTCAACCTTGGTGCTGTCCTCCCAGCTGGCTCAGGACCCAAGTCCCACAGCCTCCTCCAGGGCCACCTTCTGTAGGGAGGAGGGTCATCGAAGGGGGGGAGCGAAGCCTGGCCCTGCCCTGCTGTGCCCACCCCTACCCTGGCCGGGCTGACACCTGTCGGCCACTGCAAGATGGGGGCGGCTCGGCCCTTGCCTGGGGTGGGTTATTTATAAGGAGCCAGTGGCAGCTGAGGTGTCCAGAAATAGGCAAGACATCTCTGCCCAGAAACCCAAGACGTGGGTGAGTCGGGTGTGAGAGCCCGGCCCTCCTTGGCCCACAGCGGCCCCCTCGCCTTCGGGCACCCAGGCCCTCCCCAGCTCCTCATATTTCCCTCCTGTCTCCCCCGGGCCAGAGTCACATGAGTGCTCCGACACCCCCAGGCAGAGTGACCTCAAGGTCCCCCATTGTGAAGCAGCAAAGGCCCACTCTCCAAGTGGGGAAACTGAGGCACCTGCATTTCTGCTGAGCTCTGTTCCCCTCAGTGTGGCCTGTGTCATCGCCTCTGTGGCGGGGAGGGGTCACAGAGTGTTGGGGGTGTGCTGGGGGCAGGGGGTGGCAGTTCAGCAGCTGAGGAGCAAAGCAGGTGTGCAGTTAGTGCCTGTCTCAGAGCGGCCGCATGGAAATAGCCTGTGCGAGTCAGATTCCTGGGGTGCATGTGTCACCCTTCCCTCCTTTGGAGGTGATGGGGCCAGGGCAGGGCGGGGAGACAGGCTGCTCCTCCGTTGCTGTGGCCCCAATCATGCTCCCAGACCTGGTGTCCATCCAACCAATCTTTGCTTTGCTCCATGTTCTCCCATGGACTTCAGGAGGGGCGACCAAGCCCCGATCAGACGGCACAAGTCAGGGGGACTGTGTCCAGGGCAGGGAGGCTGGGCAGGGCCTCTTTAAGCGCCTGCTCCCCCAGCCTGCAGCCAGGGACAAGATGGGGCCCAGCCCCTCACCCCTCACTCCTGCCCCATCCTGCCTCAGCCCAGCCCCTGTCCATTCTGTCCTGCACCTCCAGACACTGGCCCCCAAGGCGGCGTGGGCTTTAGATGCCTCCAATCCGACGCACTCCTGGGATGGCCTTCCATGAGCCCCTGCCCTCCTGCTCCTGTTTTTGTCTCTACAAAACGGTGGTGTTGGAGACCCAGGCTTCGCGAGCGGCACGGAAGGCCAGGATGGGCCCGGGCGAATGTCTGCGTGGCAGCCGCAAGCCATCAGCCTGAGCCCTGGCAGGTCCCCTGCTCCGCCTCCGCCTGCGCGCACACACTGCGCCACCCTGCCTCACCACTTCGGTCCATTCCCTCACACTGGGCTTCCCTGAGCCCCGACTTTTTCCCTCCTGGCCTCCACATCCCACCTTCCTCTGCATCTTCCTGGTGCTGAGACCATCACGCCACTGTGTCCACACCCCAGACTCTCCGGGCTCCGAAGCAGCTGCGTGGGGGCCCTGAGCCATGGGGCGTCAAGTTGAGATGCTTGGCACCGCACGGTCCAGGGACCTTGGCGCCCCAGGACCCCAGAGTGTCCCCGAAACGAGAGGCCATCCACCCACACACGGGAGGCCTTGTTGGCCCCGTCAGCCCCGTCGGCCCCAGTCCTGGGCAGCCGCTCCTGCCCATACCCACCTGTGGGTCTCGTGTGAGAAGCGCTGGAGCTCCCTGTGGACAGGACCGGCTGCAGGCACTGGCGCCCGGCTCCGGGACTCGTGTTATAGTGACATTTGATCTTCCCAGAAGCCCATTGGCCAGTGGCTGGGTGGCTGGGGTGTGTGGGGAGTCACGGGGGGGTGGGTGCTGTGCCCATGCAGGCCCCTTACCAAGTATAGGAATGGCCAGAGAAGGAGGCTGAAGGAGGCCGGGATGCCGAGGACGTGCTTGGAGAAGGAGGCAAGGTCCCCCCTCCGCTTCTAGGAGCTGTCAGCTTCTATTTTTACTCCCAGCAGCGGGCACATTCTTGATGGGCTGAGGAGGGGAGGAGGAGGGTGCTGGGGAGCCCTGGGGCACAAAGCCGAGGGCTGTCTCTGGGCCAAACTGGTGTGGGGGTCACCAGAGCTGGGCCCCCACTAGTTTCCCAGTCCACCTGCCCCATCTCTCTGAGATGTCCTGTGGGAGGAAACGTTTTGTCCAGGAAAAGGGTCTGCGCAGCCCGGGTTCCCTCCCGCCATTGCCCTAGGCCCCTCCTGTCTCCCCCAGGGGAGGAAGCAGCCCACGGTCTGGGAGACCCCCATGGAACTGAGGCCAGGCTCCCATCGACACCCCTTTAGAGGCCAGTTCTGCCTCCCCGGGTGGATGCCGTTGGGGCTCCCACAGCAAGTGGGCGAGAGACACAGCCAGGCTGGCCGCACCCTGAGTCTGCTGTCCTCCCCAGGGCTGGTGCTGTTGGAGGGGGCTGGCCCTGGAGCTCGCTGGGTGAGGGTCTGGGCCCTCCCTCCAGGTCCTGTCTCACGCTGGGGCCCTGGGGCCCTGGGCACTCACGGTGGCCATTACTGTCAGTGCCACCATGTCTTGCAGGCTCCACATGGTTCGGAGACCAGCTTTCTTCCCTCAGGACTCCTGGTGGCACCGTCCGACTGGCAGACTCCCTTCCCGGCCTCCGCTGGCCCCTCTGCTGGCCAGTGAGGCCACCAGCTTGGATGGCCCTGCCTCATGGATCAGGGAAACTGAGGCACCAAGTTGGGGAGAGCAGTCTGGCACCTGACTCACCCCCTCACTCCGGCCAGACCCCACAGGCTGAGTGTGGGTGGTGGTGTCTGTGGAACTGTCGGGTTCAGGCAAGGTTGGTTCCTTTTTGGCCGGTGCCCAGGACAGGGGTGAGCCCCAAGAGGCGCAGATGAGGTCCCTGTTCTCCCCGGGCTTGGAGTCAGGGACATCGGGACAACCCGGCAGAGGCTCACAGTGCTGGGGGCCAGGTCGGGGCTTCTGGAAGGCCTTGTGTGGCACCTCATCAACCCCTCCATGGAAGAGCAAGGCCGCAGAGCCTGGGGACAGGCAGGGTGTGCCTGAGGTTACATCACAAGGCGGGGTGGCCCCAGGCTGCCGGCTCAAAGGAAAGAGCCTGTGCCCTGGCTGTCTCCCGCTTTGTGCCGGCCGCTGGGAAAGCTCTTGGAGCTGGAGTTGCTGGGAACATCCCTGTCCTCCTGCTCTGAGTCTGTGGCTTCCTCCGTACTGCCTGTCTTTCCCTCCCCACCCGTGTCCTCGTGGGCAAGCCTTTGGGGGGCCACGTACAGCCCTGGTCCCTGGACATCTGTGACCAGCTTTCTGCCCAATGGGGACATCTGCAGAGCTGCTCCCTCAGAGGCACCTCAGCGGGCCCCTGGGGGTCGCTGGCCCACCCTGTCCTCTCCCATCGTGGGGCCAACCTCCTTTCTAGGCTGGCTCCTCTAACAGAACCCGGAGCCCACCATTGTGGTTACACGTGGCTCAGTCTGCAGGCTTCGCTAGAGCTTGACCTGGGAAGCCAGTGCCCACCCAAGCCCTCACCCAGGCCAGGGGTCCTGAGGGGCACACCTGCAGGTGGGCATGCCATCGCCCTGCACTGGCCCTGTGTGGCCAGCAGGGGAGGGTGCTGCCCGCCCAGCTCCTCTGGCTTTGGCAGGCGCTTTCCTCCCAGCCCGCTGAGGTCAGAGGGACAGGGCAGGTTTTATTTTGGGTATCAGCGACCTCCCGCTCAGGGCACGAGCCTGAGGCGTAGCAGGGACTGCACAGAGCAGGCACCGGCAGCCACGAGGGCCTGCACCAGGTAACCGCACCCTGCTGCCATCTGCCTGACCAGGGTGGTCCGAGGAGAGGAGGCAGGACGGTGGCCTCCTGGGGCCACTGTAGACCTGGGTGGGAGCACAGCACAAGGGAGGCTCAGCCTGGGTGGGGGTGGGGACGCATTTCCACCCAGGAGGAGTCTGAGGATGGACCACAGGGCATTGGGCCCAGGGCAGTTGTGGGGAGTGAGGGGGGGTTCTGAAATTGGCAAATCCTGAGTAGAGTCCAGGGATTAGGGAGCAGGCTGTGGGAGGGGGTACGGCCTCCTGAGTGTCTTGGCTCCATCTCCCTGCCTGGGTGACGCCTAATGGTGGAGACTGGGCCAGGGCCCCTCCATCTAGGTCCCGGTACCCAGTGCCCATGGTTGGGGGTGGCGGAGACTGAGAGGGTCCTGAGCGTCTCCTGGTGCCCTGAACTGACCTGAGCCCAAGCTGGTTCCAGCCTGAGGCCACTTGGCCCAGCTGTGGGCTCAGCACTGCCAGGCCCAGCACAGGAGCAGCTGACACAGCGCTTGGGGACTGAGCTGCTTCAACCCCAGGTAGCTGCCTCCCCACAGGCCTGGTGCTTTGGATTTTGCAGATTCATTGACTTGTTCTGCAGATATGTTGGGCATCTTCTGTTCAGGGCTGGCCTAGGAGCCTGTAGCGGGTGTCACAGGGTTTCAGGAGGCTGCCTCTGCCAGCTGCCCTTGGTCACCATCCCCTCCAGATTGGGTGGGAAAGGAAGGGAGTGTGGTCACCAGGTGGCTACCCAGCAGGGCAGGGTGACCTCGATGCTCTCTCAGTGGCCGGGGCATCCGAGAAAGGATGGGGGCAGGTCACCTCCCTTGCGTGGGTGGTGGCTCTGTCGAGGCTTCACTTTTCTGGACTGTGTGTATTCGTGGGATAGGCAGGATTTGACATGCAGCCTTCAGAAAATAGTGGCTCTGAGGAGCCGAGGGAATGGCAGTGAAGTCCAGGACATCAGAGGTGGGGACCTGCTCCTCACAGGGGCTTCCCAGACACTGAGGGCTGCTGGGCTGAGTGTCAGGCCCCAGTGCAGGACCTGGGAGAGGAGGGAGAGGAGGGAGAGGAGGGAGGATGTCCCCAGGCTGTCTGCTATTTCACACAGTTGTCCATTCATCCACCCATCTATTCATTCCCACACATTCACTCTCACTTTCACCACTTCCTTTCCTCCCTCCTTCTCTTCCATCAACCATCTCTCTGTGTGTCCATCCCTCCATCCATCCATCCACCCATCTACCATCCACTCATCTATCCCTCCATTCATCCATCCCTCCACCCATCTATCCATCCTTCATCTATCCATCCATTCATCCATTATTCCACCCACCCATCCATCCATCCATCCATCCATCCATCCCTCCATCTCTTCATCCATCCATTCATCTACCCATCCACTCATCTATCCCTCCATTCAGCCATTCCTCCACCCATCCATCCATCCTTCATCTATCCATCCATTCATCCATTATTCCACCCACCTATCCATCCATCTATCCATCCATCTCTTCATCCATCCATCTACCATCCACTCATCCATCCCTCCATCCATCCATCTATCCATTTACTCACTCACCTATCATCCGTCCATCCCTTCATCCATCCATTCACCTACCCATCCACTCATCCATCCCTCCATTCACCAACCTATCCATTCACTCAGTCACCTGTCTATCATCCATCCCATCATCCACCCATTCATCTACCTATCCACACATCCATCCGCCATTCACACATTCACCTATCCATCCATCCAACCACCTACCCATCCCTTCATTTATCCCTCCTTACTTTCATCCAACCATTCCTCCATCCATCCATTCATCCACCTGCCTACCCATTCACTCACTAATCCCTCCCTCTATCCCTCCCTCCAGCCCTCCCTCCTTCTCTCTATTCATCTATCCATCTACCCACCCACTCATCCATCCCTCCATTCATTCATCCATCCACCTATCCATTCACTAATCCATCCATCTATCCATCCATCCTTCCACTCGCCCGTCCATTCACCCACCTATTCACCCACTCATCCAGCCATCCGCCCACCCACATTCACTAATCCATACGTTCCTCTATCCACTCATCCATCCCCTATTCATCCACTCATCCATCCCTTGACTCACCCACCCAACCATTCATCCACCCACCCACATACCCATCCATCCACCCACCTATCCATCCATTCATCCATCCATTCATCCACCCACCTACCCACCCATCCCTCCACCCACCTATCCATCCATTCATCCATCCATTCATCCACCCACCTACCCACCCATCCATCTACCCACCTATCCATTCATCCATCCTTTCATCCACCCACCTACCCACCCATCCATCCCCCCATCCATCCACCCATTTGTCTGTTTACCAAACCTTCACTGAGCACCTCCTGGGTAGTGTTGGGGGAGGCCCCAGAGGTGGCACTTGCCTTCCGTGGGTGCACAGTCAGGGCACAGAAGTTTGTATTGGGCTAGTCATGGTGGGGGTAGGATGTCACAGACATTCTGGAAAAGGCAGCCTGGACCCCACCCACTGTGGGCTGCCACAGAACTTGTGTCCTGGAGCCTCACACTGCAAAGGCCATGAGCCGGGTCAGACTGCCTGAACCCAGAGGTCACAATCTGCTCTGCCGTGTGGGGACAGGCTGGCCACTGGCCCAGCCTTTCCATCCTGGCCAGCCCTGCCCCCTTAGTGAGTACAAGACAGCCAGCACACGGGAATACACAGGGAGCTTTATTACACAAATGGCGGGGTGGGGGCAGCAAGCAAAGAGTGGGGGGACCTCAGCCTCAAGCCTCCTGCACGGCCGCAGTCAGCTCTTGATCTGGTTTCCCCTCGGATCTGGGGGGTGACCTGCCCTCTCTGCACAGGCTGTGACTCAACCTCTTACCTTCCTAGAAGGCACTTGGCCTCTCCAGGGGTAAGTCCCTTTGGCCAATGATCAGGAGTTTCTTTCCTCCCCCAAGTAATGAGAAGTAGAGTTGGGTGGGTGCAGGGCAGGCGGGGGGTCAGAGAGTGGAAGGGCAGGGAGGCTGAAGGGTCCAGGAGCAAAAGGAGGTGGCAGCAGGGGGCATCAAAGAGGCGAGGGTAGGCCATGCTGGTAACAGGAAGCGACTTCTTAGCCAGGGCAGGGGGCGGGTGTCTGGCCGGAATCTCCCCTGGGTACATGGAGGGTGCCACCCGGCTGGACCTGCAGACCCAGGAAGCTGGAACATAGGCATGGGGTGCAGGGAGCATTAGGCTTGGGTCCGTGGAAGGGCTGCAGACCTACCTCCTGCACCCCACAGAGGCTTCCCCTCAAGCCTCTGTCTGCCTGCAACCCCTCTCCACCACGGGAGAAGACTCCCTGCCTCAGAGGCCTGCTTCCCAGGGTGAGCACTTCTGCCCTGGGTCAGGGCCTCTCACTGGAGACCTGACTCCAGGTGGAGGGAAGGCAGCCTGCCTGCCAGCCAGCCTGCCCACCCCAGGAGCTAGAATTGGGGTTCCCGTGGTTCCTGCAGTCCTGTCATCTGGAGGCGGCCAGCAGCTGAGAGCAAGTCCTGGGCGGGATCCTTCTGCCCCCACCCCTCCAGCAGCTCTGTTCCTGCCTTGGCAGAGCCAGCCCCAGCAGCAGCCCCCAGGCCTCCCTCCTTCCCCAAACCAGACAGCCTCTGGCTCGGCCCAGATGCCATTTGTCAATGTCCTTGCACACACGTGGCGCCCAGAAACCAGGGTGGGCGGCTTGGCCGGACCACCCCAGCCAGGAGGTCTGCGGGAATATCCCATTTAGCATAGCTCAGCGAAAACTGCTCCCACCTTCCGGCCGATCTACCTCTGATGATGCAGCCTCAGCTTTCCCGAGCCTCTTGGCCGCCACCCCTCACCGCTGGCTCGCAGCGGACGCGCCTGTGGTTGGGCCGGAGACGGCTGGGCGCCCCTCACGTGTCTGCGGGCAGCCGCTCTTCCAGCCCTGGGCCCGGCCGGCAGCTGGCCAGGGGCACGCCTCTCACTCAGGGCTCCCCCGAGTCTTCTGCCCCAGCCCACGCGGCACTGTGGCCTGATCCGGGCTGTGCACTTGGGGCCTGCTTTGTGCCAGGGTGACATGCAGGATGGAGCCCCCAGGCAGGGTCCAGCCCCGTCCTTCGAGGAAGTGGGTGCCTCGTTTCTACATTAGGGTGATGGTGGGGCCACCCCAAAGTCCCCAAGATGCAGTCAAGCCCAGGACGCCCCCGGCAGGTTCTGGGTGCACAGGAAGCAGAATGCTCAGGTCTCCACACCTCTGGGCCCAGGTTCTCCCTGGACCACGTGAGACACAGGCCTCCCACCTTGGGAGGGAGGAGGGCTGGCCTGACTGCTGTCCCTTTCACCCCAGGACACAGCTATGCTCATCTCAGCTTCGTCGATGGCACCCGAGGTGGGTGGCCCGAGCGTCCGAGGGACCCCTGGACCCCCACCACCCCTGCTGCCTAAGCCAGGGAAGGATAACCTTCGTCTGCAGAAGCTGCTGAGGAAGGCGGCCCGGAGGAGGATGACAGGGAACGTGCACCTCACCCCACCCGGGGCCTTCCGCACCTCCCTGTCCCCCGTGAGTGAGGCCAGCCATGACCAGGAGGCTGCAGCCCCGCACACTGCAGAAAGCCCGCATCCCGCCGAAGCCTGGAGCCCTCCTGAAGCCCAGAGCCACGCCGAGCCGCCCCGCATGGTGGCTGCCCCACCCCACTCTCCGCACACCCCCATCACCCACCACGTGGCGTCACCCCTGCAGAAGTCCACCTTCTCCTTCAGCCTCACCCAGCGCAGGATTCTAGCTGCTCACTTCAAGGCCACGGGGCCCCAGGTTGTAGCCCCGGCCCCAGAACCTGCCCGGCCCCCCAGTGGCTTCATCCCTGTCTCAGGCCCAGTGGCTGGGGGCACCCACATCACCCAGGTGCACATCCGGCTGGCACCATCTCCACACGATGGGACCCAGGAGCCCCCCAAGACAGACCCGGAAGGGGGATCCCACAGCCGGGACGGAGACAAAGCCCCATGTCCCCCCAGAGCCCAGGGCCCAGTCCCAGTGGCTCATATCTGCCCACTGCCCACCGCAGCCCAGGCTGCCAGACCCTCGCCTGAGGAGCCCCTTGTACCCCGACTGCCACCTGGCTTCCAGGCCTCGGTGCCCAGAGAGGCGAGTGCCAGGGTTGTGGTGCCCATAGCCCCGACCTGCCGAGCGCCGGAGCCCTCACGGCATAGCCTGGCCCCCATGGGCCCTGGTGGAGAGCAGCTGGAGGAGCCCCCGATGGCTGGTCCCACCCCTGAGGCCGAGTGGGTGTCCAGCCCTGCCAGGGCCTCATCCCCTGCGCCACCATCAGGCCCTCACCCATGCCCCATCCCCAAAGTTGCACCCAAGCCCCGGCTCAGTGGCTGGACGTGGCTTAAGAAGCAGCTGCTGGAGGAGACCCAGGAGCCTCTGTGCCCGGGGCCACAGCAGAACCTGGAGCCAGAGGCGACCGCCCCCACGGAGCAGGAGGTGTCCCGGGCCCCCACCTCCCAGGCCCCCGCCTCCCGGGCCTCCAGGATGTGGGATGCCGTGCTGTACCGCATGTCGGTGGCAGAGGCTGGAGGGCGCCTGGCTGGGCCCAGCGGTGGGGAGCACACCCCGGCCGGCCTCACCCGCCTGCCCTTCCTGTACCGGCCTCGCTTCAACGCCCGGAAGCTGCAGGAAGCTGCCCGGCCCCCTCCCACAGTCCGCTCCATCCTGGAGCTGAACCCCCAACCCAAGAACTTCAACCGCACGGCAACCGGCTGGAGGCTCCCGTGACGTGGCTGGAACGGTTCCCAGGGCCCAGGACCAAGGAGGGGACAGAAGAAGGGGCTGAGGCTCGAGCTGGGGGCCCACAGTTGCATGAGGATGTGCCAGGGCCCAAGGAGCATGGGTGCAGGGCAGCCTGAGGAGGGCACACGGGTGCTGAGGGAAGTCTGGGTGTCAGGAGGGTGGTAGGTGGACGGGGCAGAGAGGGCAAGCTGGGGCCCCTGGGCTGCAGTGCTGTGAGGGGAACAGAGAAGGGGTCTGCTGGGATGTGGGATGGGGCCTTGGGGTGAAAAGTTTAGGTAAGATGGCAGAGCCTTGCACTACTGACCGAGCCCAGGCTTCTCGGGGGCCCCTGGGCCTCACATTTTTCCTCCCTTTTGCTGTCAAAGGTTTGGGGGCAGATCTCTGCTTGCTGACGCGTGGGCGTGGTCAGGCAGGCTGGGCCATCAGCGCCAGGAGCAGAGTCAGCAGTTTTGTTGCCTGCACTTCCTGATAGCAGAGCCAGACCCTGGGACTGGGGTGCAGGGGGAGCCCCCAGCCAGCGTGGGACTTGGCACCGATACAAGTGCTCGGGGCAGGCAGGGAGGGGCTCATCAGGGGTGGAGGAGGGCCCAGCGTTTCTCCTCTCACGGCCCACCTCTGCTTCCCCCCTTGGACTGACAGCCTGAGGGGGCAGAACTCAAGGGGCTCGCTGGTGGGAGAGAGGGTCTCAGCATTGGCCATGCTCAGGGTTTCATGGCTGGAGGAGGGGCTCAGTCCCAGCCCTGCGAGAGCAGCTTGGCCAAGTGGGGCCGAGAAGGGGCTGTGGCCCTGGTCGGGACAGTGGAGGGCCCCAGTAGGCAGTCAGCCAGGCTCTGGGGATGTTGCCAGCCACAGGAGAGGGACTCAGAGGTACCAGAAACAGCCTCTGCTTGAGAGTCGGGGTTTAGCAGGGAAAGGTGGTAGGACGCCAGCTGCCCCACCCTGGGTGGGATGGGTGCTGGAAATGGAGCCCGGGCCCCAGGTCACTAATAAATGTGTGTCTCACCATGGCAGGAGTGGCCCTGCTCTGTCTGCACCATAAGAGGGGGAGGGCATCTGGATCCCTGAATGGCCCTCGGCTGGCACAGGGAGGAGGCCCTAAGTTTCTGCCCCTCTAAGGACCCCCAGCACACAGATGGGCGGGAAGCCGAGCTCCAGGGGCTCCATGCTACCCACTTCCTTCAGTGCTAGCCCTGTGGTGGCCAGGCTGCCCCTCACTTCCCTCATGAGCCCTGCTGGGGCTTTTGGGGAGTCCCAGAAGGGAGCCTTGAGCTTCCCTGGTGGAACAGTGGCTGAGCCGGGCTGACTCTGGTGAAGCGAACAGAGAGTTTGAATCTGGCGTCAGGTGAGGGAGGCAGCGTCTGTCTGCACAGGGCTAGGAGACAGAGCTGGTCTGGGTTCTGGCCAACTTGGAGCCCACCCTTGCAGCCTGCAGCAGGGGTCCAGGTCGCCACGTTCCCAGCACGATACACATGTGTGCACCTCATCCTGCTCTGTGGGTTGCCAGGGACTCACCAAGATGGGAGGCCTAGGGCGCTGGGCCCCCCTCCACAAGAACCTTCTCATACTTCCCATGCCCAGTGGCCACAAACTTATACCTCTTCCCAGATGGGGTGCTCTGTTGGGGAAGGAGACCAGGAGTGAAGGTGAGAGCAGCAGAAGGGAGATGAGGCTGCCTCTGCCTCTGGGAAGCCCTCCCAGATGCACAGAGCACAGCCCCTCTTTGCCCTGCCCTACGGCACCCACCCTGCCTGCACCAACCACATGTAGGCTCTACCTTAATTGTTGACGAGGTCTTGGAGCCTCCCTTCTGCTCCCAGAGGCTTTTCTTGCTCATGTCTCCAGCCACAATATCCTGGGGGCAGCAGCAGGACATGTCACAAGGGCAGACTCCTGGATCTCAGGGAATAGAAGCCCTGAGCCCTTCTCTCCTACCTTGCCTTACCTGGCCAGGGGGCCTGGGACCTGCCTACGTACCTTTTTCTGTGCGATCCCAGTGGAAGAGGCAGGGAAAGGAATAAACATACCATCCACCTCCACTTGGCCAGCACAGCCATCAACAGCAGCAAGGGTGACCCCACCACCTCAATGCCCCAGTGTTCTGTCTACCCACACTGCCTCCTGGACAGTCCCACACTTGCCTTAACAAGGAATCCTGGCCTGCTGCTAAACTCCCAGGCGCTGCCTCTGCAACCCAGCCTTACTCCTGGATGGCCCTTACCTTGCAGGGTGGTGTCTTGGCTGCTGACTGAGACGCCTGTACCTCACCGGTCTCCCACAGATTCTTGGTACTGGCCACAGCCATGCTGGGCAGCTCTATGGAGGCCTGGCGGGCTAGCTTGGGGGTCCGGCCGGAGGTCTGCAGAGGAGGCAAGGTACCAGGATTACCTTAGTGGATGGCCACCGTGGACACATCAGAGGGTCACACTGGGCAGCCCTCTGCTTTGTCTGTGTGTTTTCCCTGGGAGTGCTTTCCCAATGTAGCCCTAGAGTGGGAATCACTGAAACAATGTGCTTTCCTTGATTCGATGCACTTGTGAGACACCTCCCTGCCCTAAAGAGCGCCAGGGAGGTGAAGGCACACAGGACAGATGTGGGTCTGCCTCCAAGCTGCTCAAGGGGTAGGGCCCGGGGACCGTGGGCTGGAGGCATGGGCACTGAGTGGATGGAGGACAGTGGATAGATGGCGGAGTATTGGTTGGATGGAAGAGCATTGATCAGATGGAGGAGTATTGGTTGTATAGAAAGTGTTGATAGATGAAATTATTTTGATCAAATGGAGGAGTACTGATTACATGCAGGAGTATTTGTTAGATGGAGGGTCACTGACTGAATGGAGTAGCATTGGTTGGATAGAGCCATATTGGTTCGATGAAGGGGCGTTGATTGAATGGAATGACATTGATTGGATGAAGCAGGATTGGCTGGATGGAGGGCCACTGGTAGGGTGGAAAGGTGCTGACTGGTTGGAGGAGCAGTGAATGAAGGGAGGAGTATTGAATGGATGGGGAGGTGTTGGTTGGATGAAGGAATATTGATTGGATACAGGAACGCTGATAGGATGGAGGATTGCTGGTTCGACGCAGAGGCACTAATTGGATGCAGGAATGTTGGTTTGATAGGAAGGTGCTGGTTGCATAGAGGAATGTTGATTGGATGGAGGAGCGAGTATTGGCCGGGCGAAGGGCTTCTACTGAAATCGGAAGTATCGGCGGAATGGAGGGGTGCTGACTGGGTGAGGGAGCGGCGTATGGAGGCACTACTTGCACAGAAGAGCACACTAGAATGGAGGAATGCTAGCAGGAAAGAGGGGTGCTTGCTGGATAAATGAGTGCCGGGTGGATGGAGGCGCACTGGGTGGAGGAAGCGGCACTGATTTAGCAGGGGAGTATTGGTTGGATGGAAGGATACTGGTTAGATGGAGAGGTCCTGATTAGAGAAAGCAGGATTATTTGGATAGAAGGGCATTGATTAGAAGCAGAGGCACTGATTGGATGAAGCTATGTTGGTTGGATGGAGGGGCATTGATGGAGTGGATAAGGGCACTGGTTGGATGGAGGAACGGTGCTGGGAGAGAGGACAGGCGTGGCAGCAGGGGAGCCGGGTCATACCTCGATGGCCTGGGTGTATTGCTCCAGCCGCTGGTCAATCCTGGAGATGGGCAGGTCTGGCTGGGACTTCTTTACACTGTTACTGGAGGGTAGGTGCGTCAGGCCCCATGTCTCCCTGCGAGGGTCCCCCCTAACCCACTCGAGCCTCTCCCACAGCCTCCTGTGGTCTCCAGGTCTCCACCCTGTGACTCCCTTCAACCCCTTCTTGGGGAAACCTAAGATCCGAGCCCAGAAAGCAGACAGACAGACAGACAGACCTCTTCTCTATGGAGCGGTTTAGAGACTCGGTCCTGTCGATGAGCTGCGGAGGGTGGAGAGAGACGTGAGCAGGCAGCCGCCGGGGAAAAGCCCCGCCCTCCATCCCCCCAGCTACTCCATCCGCCGATCCAGCCCCCAACCCTTATATCACGGGGGTTTGCTGAGCGCCAGGCAACAGGGGAATAACGGACCAAAGCCGGGCCTGGGCCTGGTCTTCCTGTGGCTGGCATGTGGGATTGGCCATTTGGGGATGAGTCCGGGACAGGGGAGAAGATGGTGGGCTTTGCAGCCTGACCTACTTTGGTGGTGGGGCTCAGGGGAGGCGAGCTGTGTTCAGGGGTCCCCTCCAAGACCAAGGGGCTGGGTGTCCTGGGCTGCTGACATTTCCGGTGCTAGGAAGAAAAACAACCAGACACCCCAGGTGACCCCTGCCTGTACCCCTCCTGCCCCGCCCAGTGCCTTCGGGAACAAATGCTGTCCCCTCCCTGGGCCTCAGGGTCTCCGTGGCCCTGACATGCTCCTGTTCTGGAGCTGGTGGTGAGGGACTGAGGAGTCTGGGGAACTGTGTCCGGAGCTTGCAAGACGGTCCACAAGCCTCACCCTCCCTGAGAATGAGGGCCCAGGAGGGGCTGCAAGGTGGCGGGTGTGGGATGCTGACCCTCTGGGCTAGTGCCATGGGACCCACAGTGGTGTAGACAGCCAAGGCAGACTCATCCTGGGGTGGGGGCACCCAGACCCTCCGAGGTGGAGCCATTACCTCTTGTTCCTCCTCTGCCCCGGCGGCCCCCAGGCTGTCCTGGACGGTGTCCTCCAGGTCTGGCCCCTCCTTGCTCAGACTCAACTCCCCCAGGTGGCCTTCATCTCCATCACCCTTTCCGCAGGCATGCGGGCTGGGCCTGGGGGTGGAAACGGAGGCAAAGCCTTTCTAGGGCCATTGGATTGCTTGGTTGACCCCTTCCCATTTACAAGCCTCAGTTTCCCATCTGTGAAATGAGGGCAGTCAGGCTCGTTGAGTACCAAGGGGTTTGAGACCCAGCCCGTTGGGTAAGAAGGTCCAGCGGCCTCAGAGCCAGTGCCGTCTGCTTGGGCCTCTGTGTCAGGGCGTGAGACTCCTGGGGAACTGCCCCGTCCCCACCAGGCAGGGCCCTACCAACTGAGGGTCCCCCAAGCACAGAGGCTGGGTTCAACCCCCAGCTCTCTGGCTGGGCCCCCGCCTGGCAGCTGCTTGCCCACAGGTTGGTCTGGCAGGGTCACTGGGGTTACGATTCCTGCTCTGCTCGCTGTGGAGGCCTGTGGGTGTTGTGGGGGGCTGGAGCCTGGGTCATCTGGAAGGCCAGGCAGAGGTAGGGGCCAGGTCACTGAGGAGTGGGGCCAAGGGGCTGCCGGCTGCGGGGGAGGGGAGGCCAGCCAGCTGGCAGCTTCCAGCAGCTCTGCATTTGAGCAGGACTGAAGCTGGAGGAGAAGATGGGAAATTCTCGAATTTTCCATGATTTCAGGCCTGTGGGTGTGCGTGCCAGCCAAGACCCAGACCCACCCACCCAAGGTGGGCAGGGGTCCGAGCCAGCAGCAGCCACACAGAGGGGCCATTCAGGAGCAGCGCCTTGCGGCCAGGCAGGTGGGGGGGTGGGGTGGCAGCCGCAGAGCCGGGCTCCACCGAAGAGTCAAAGTGCCCCCTGCTGTTGGGAGCAGCCTTGCCTGCCAAGGCCTGAGGCCAGAGAGAAGGGAGCTGCCCCATCTCAGAAATGCGAGGCCTCTGACTCCCAGGCGCCTATGGGGAAACCGAGGCCTGGGGAGGCGGCGGTGGGCACTGGGCCGGGCCAGGACCAGGGGCTCTTGTGGAGTGGGAGCCTGGTTGTAGCAGGAGAAGGGAGCGCTGCTCAGCAATACCAGCCCCTAGAGCTCCAGGGGGTCTCAGAGGGGCCGGGACGACCAGGGAGAACTGCCACCCAGCCACGGGCCCTGGTCCCACTCAAGGCCAGGGGGTCCTGAACAGGGCTGGAGTTGGACCCATCGTGGCCGCAGCAGACTGAGACGGCAGGACCCCTGAGTGTGCGTAGTGAGGTGGGGCTCGGGAGCAGCCCCTCTCGGGCCTGCTGGGGTTAAGGCAGGCACACACATCCACACATCTGGAAACCGCGTCCCCCCCTGGCCGACTCTCCGGCGCGCACATCTGGAAATACCTGCTCCCCTCCGTGGGAATGGAGATCAGCCAGCCCCGAGGGAGGAAGGGGCGGCGGCAGGCTCTCAGCCTCCATTACAGAAGCGGCTGCAGCTGTGTGCTGATGTGGCAGCACACGCCCGGCCCGCAGCTGCCTGGATGGGGCCCAGGGGCTCTGGGGAGCCCCGGAATGAGGTTTCCTCGCGGCCCCTTGCAGGCCGCCATGCTGTCTCGCCCTCTTCCTCCCTCCCCTTCTTTCTCCCCCTTTCCTGGCCATGGGGGCATTTCAGGGGCTGCTTGGAAAGGGGATCATGGGGTGGCTGCTCAGGCTTAGGCTGGGGGCCCAGAGGGAGCCCCGCTCTGCCCATTGCCCACCCTGAGGCCCCCACTCACCTGTCCTCTTGCTCCCCTTCAGGACCCCTGCACCGGGAGGGCTCCCCAGTGTCTGGGGTGCCCTGGGCCCCCTTGCGCTGCTGCTGCTCTGGCTTCTGGGACCAGTCACCAAAGCCCTCATCCTCATCCAGTTCAGGGGCCTCCGAGGCCTTCAGGCTGAGGCTGAGGGTGGCAGGAGGGAGCTTAGGACTGGGTGGCTGCTATCTCCTCCGCCCGGAGGTACCAGTCACTTCATGGCGCCTGCTCAGGCCCTGGGCTCCAAGTGTGGGGGCCCCTGTGTGCCAGAGAGCTGGCTCTGGGCTGTGTCTCCTGTGGTCAGAGTATCCCTGAGGGTAGGGCTGTGTCTCCCCCATCAGTCTGGGGCTACCTGAGGGCAGGGTTGTGCCTCCTCCATCAGTGTGGGGCTCCATGAGGGCAGGGCTGTGCCTTCTCCATCAGTCTGGGGCACTCTGAGGGCAGGATTATGCCTCCTCCATCAGTTTGGGGGTCCCCGAGGGTAAGGCTGTGCCTTTTTTATCAGTGTGGGGCTCCCCAAGGGTTGAGCTGTGCCTCCTCCATCAGTTTAGGACTTCCTGAGGGCAGGGCGGTGACTCCCCTGTCAGCCTGTGACTCCTTAAGACCAGGGCTATGCCTCCCCCATCAGTCTGGGGCTCCTGAGGGTAGGTCTGTGCTTCCCCCATCATCCTGAGGCTCCCCAAGGGCTGCCCTGGCCCCCAGGCTCCTCCCAAACCCCAACTTCTCAGGCCTCCCTTGTGGTGGGGTGAGCCCTGGAGAGCTGGGGCTCTTGGTGGGATGGCCGAGGGCCGAACCATGGTGACCGCTGCACCCCACTCTGCTCAAGGCTGCTGACTCGGAGAAATGGAACAAAAGAGGCCGGGAGGAAGGGGAGCATTATTGCAAAAACAGCCCAGCCCAGCCGTGGAGGCCTCCTGGGCCCAGGGAGGAAGCAAGCCAGCCTGGCCGCCAAGTTGGACGTGGCTCTGTGAGTCACTGGCGGGGGAGTCTGGTGGGGGGCCCGGGCCAGGACACGTGGCCGGGGTCAGAGGCAGTCCAAGCAAGGACCAGAGTGGGGGCGCAGAGCCTGGTTCAGCACCCCGGAGGCAGCCAGGCATTGGCAGACCCTCACCCAGGGCTTCGGCTACCCTCGCCCCAGCAGCACTGGCCCACCCCGCGCCCGCTCCTGGGGCCCTTCCTCGCTGTCCTACACTGGGCTCCCCCAAGCACAGTCCCTGGACCTCCCCTCTGCCCAGGCCCCAGGGTGCACAGATAGGGGCTGGTGCCCAAGGCTGTGGGCGGGGCTGCTCACAGTGTCTCCTGCTCTGGCTGTTCGGGGACATGGCCGCCTCCGTCCTCGTCCTGGGCCTGCGGCTGCCTGTCTTGCTCATGCTGGCACTGCTCTGGGGCGGCCTCCTCCTTGTCCTCCACGCTCCACTGAGCTGTGAGCCTGGTGCGGGACACAGTGGACAGTCACGCCACAGTCACGACAGGCACTGCTTTGCACCCGCTGCTCCTGTCTACGCAGGCCTTACTGGGGCCACACGGTGGGGGCAGCCCTGGTCCACAGGACAGTCCCAGGCCGGCCCTCGGGCTTCACCTCATCCATCTTTAAATAGAGGCTGGGCACGTGGTCATGAGGTGCCCTCTGGCCCAGGCAAGGGTCCCAGGGCCCTGTGAGGATCTGGGCCCCCTGTGCCCTCGGGGGCCCGTTCAGGCCTGAAGAAACAGGACAAAGGCCCTCTGTCCCCCTCTCCCAGCCTGCCCCTCCCTCATTAGAGCCAGGGCCCAGACCCAGCTGACCCTGGAGGGCCCGGAAGAGGATACCGGTGTCCAGGGAGACTGGTTGCAGCGTATCGCCTGGCGGCACCTCCAATCCCCCTGCAGGTGCTCCATCTTGCACCCCAAAGGCAGACTGTGTTGGGGAGAGGGGCCCCCCATGAGGCCCAAGGCTGAGGAAGGGAGAGCCTGCCAGCCAGGCAGACAGCTCCCATCCCACCACCAGCCCTGCTTAGAGAAGCCCTAGGCTCCTGCCTGGGCCTAATCCCATAGCTGGGGGGACCCTACGGGGTCGGCTCACCCAACCACACCCCATCCTGATTTCAGAGTCCTCTGTGGAGTCTCTCTGAGCTGTTTCTTTATTGCTGTTGTTGTTTGAGGCAGAGTTTTACTCTTGTTGCCCAGGCTGGAGTGCAATGGTGCGATCTCAGCTCACTGCAGCCTCCGCCTCCTGAGTTCAAGCAATTCTCCTGCCTCAGCCTCCCAAGTAGCTGGGATCACAGGCAAGTGCCACCATGCCCAGCTAATTTTGTATTGTTTGTTAGAGATGGAGTGTCTCTGTGTTGGTCAGGCTGGTCTCGAACTCCTGACCTCAGGTGATCCGCCCACCTCAGCCTCCCAAAATTGAACCCGGTCGATTGAGCTGTTTCAAAGATGGGAAAACTGAGGTAAGGGAGCACTTCTGCTCTCACAGCCTGACACCATGGCTTCTCAGGGTCTCACACGCCCCGATCGGGGACAGAGGAAGACACAGGCTAGCCTGGACTTGGGGGTCAGAGCCCCTGCCCAGCAGCTCTCAGATGGCCCAGGTCCTGCAGACACTGGGGCCTCAGCTGTCACAGTCCTGCCTCCCACTGCCCTCCTAGAGCCTGAGGGGGGGTCCAGGGTCTCTACCATCCTACAGGGGTTATTATCCCAGATCCAGGGAGGGAGCCCAGGCCAGAACAAGGAGCAGGGCTGGGGTCTCTCTGCTGGGGTCTCTGTTCTTCCCGGCCAGTGTCCGCTGCCTGACCCTGCAGCCGGATCCCCACCGGGCCCCCATCCCCTGGCCAGAAAGTGTGTTCTGCCAGAGCATGATCTAATCTCGCGTAGTCTCCCCTAAGCCTCTCAGACAAAAGCCAGGCCCTTCTGCAGGCCCATGTTCAAGGCCCACTCCCCCCACCGAAGCCACAGGGGACTCCAGCCACGCAAACCCAGCCGCCTGTGCACCCGCCCCCTGCACTCCCGAATCCGCCCGCCTGTCCTGCTCCTCAGAAGTGCCTTCAACTCCCAGCCCCCGAGGAAGCCACTTAATTCCCCACACCTGGCTCCCATCATCCGGGCAGATGAGGCCGGGCTTCCCGCCACTGCTGGCCTCAGCAGGGCTGGGGGGTGCTGGGCTTCATTCCACTTGGGGAGGCAGAGCTTGGGGGTGCAGAGGCCCTTGTGCTCACTCACGACCCTCCACACCCAGGCTGGCACAGAGCTGGGGCAGAGTGTTGAGGAGGGGGAGGGCCTCCATAGAGGGGGAGTTTGGCCATGTGGCTCCCTGGTTCCCACGTCCCAGCCTCTCCATGTGGGCTAGGGCTCAGCTGGGGTGTGTGCCCCGGGCGTGGGGCATGAGATGGAGCCCCAGCTTGTCCTCGGACTTGGGCTCCCGGCGGGGCCATGGCACTCACTCCAGCTCCACTGACCCCCTCCACCAAGCCATGGAGAGAGCGGGGCTGGGGAGCACACATTAGTGAAGAGATCCCAGGTGCTCGTGCACACATCTCCTCGGGTCCACCCCTGTGGGCAGCAAGTCCAGGCCCTGACAGCCCCACAGAGGCCCTCGCTCTGCTCACGGCTCATGCCCAGCACACGGAGCGCGGCCTGCATCGGGAGTCCCCAGGCCAGGGGCACACGCAGGGACACACTGGCTGAAGCACGTTCTCCACGAGCCCAGGCTCCGGTCACACAGGCATACACGCCCGAGCCCCAGGCACATGCAAGAATGCACGCGCTCACCCACAGCAACACCTGACATCCACATGCGTGTGCAGGCAGGCTTGGGAACAACGGGACCACGTCCCCTCCAGGGATCCCTGCAGGGCGCCGCAGCCTTGCTTTCGGAGGCAAACATTCACTGTTTGCCTTGCATCGCCCTGACAACGGCAGTGCCGGCCCTGGCAGGAGGCCAAGGCGTGCGCTCTGGGAACCTCATCCCTGCCGAGCTGGGCCCTCAACGATCACCCCGACTGAGCTCTCCCTGGCGAGGGGCCTGGGGACAGAGTGGGGGTGCAGGGAAAGCATTTCCTGCCAGTGTCTCTCCTAAAACCCAATGCTGGGGAGAAGCCCTGCCGGCCCCTGGCCCCTGACCCAGCAGCCTGAGGACGAGGAGGCCTCTGGGCCCCCTTCCCCATGTCCTCCCTTTCCGCCTGCCCCAGGATATGAGTAATGCGGGCCCCCTCCCCATGACCTCACCCCCTCACTATTCCACAGCTGGGCTCCGTTCTGGGAACTGGAAGGGGGACAGCTCTCCTGGGGTGGGGTGGGGGCCTCTGGCCTGGGAAAGGCGCCCCCCGGCCAGCAGCCCAGGCCCCTTGGCAGGCTGGGATGTCAGGACTCTGGGATGGCCGACCTGCCTGTGGCCCTGGCTCAGCCCCGGGCAGCTGCGAGGGATTTGGTGTTCCTGCGCAAATGCAATTAGGCGATTTCCTGTGTCTGTTCTGGCTCCAAGGCCCAGGGTTCAACCCAAGGGGCCAGGCGGTGGGGAGGCTCCATCCATCTACTTCCTACTCTGGTGCACCCCCACACCCTCACGGTCCCAGGCTCCACTTCAGGGCTTGGCCCCCAGCCAAGGACACCAGTATGCACAGAACTCTGATGGAAGCCTCGTTCTGAGTGGGGCTCCCTAAGCTCAAGTCTGTTCTGGCTGGCCTTATCCACAAACCACCACCCCCGACTGGGGACACCAGCCCTTCTTCTCCTTCCTCCACAGCCCCCCGACTTCTACCTCCCAGTCTCCACCAAGGGCCCGACAATGCTTGTCCTCAGCCCAGCACACCCAGCTGCCTCTATCGTTCCCCTGCAGATACTTCCAGAATGAGCGTGGGGCTCAGTCCCTGTCCAGACTCTACCCCCTGCAGACAGCCCCTGTGGCCGCCCCACCTGGCTGTCCTGAGCCCAGAGGCCGGTGGAGAGGGTCCTTTTTGGAGTCCTGGGGAGTGAGGAGGCTCTCTCAAGGAGTGGGGTCTGCAGGGAGGATGTCGAGGGGGAGCTCCTCCCTCAGGCCTGACGACAGGTCCCCTGGACACCACAGGAAGCTGGCAGGAGGCCTGAGGAGCTGGGGAGCCTCCCACCAGGGTGGCTTGGGGCTCCCTGCACAGCACCGAGGTCTCTGGTCCCCTCATGAGCCCAGCTTCGCCTGGGGTTATAGACTTGTCCCTCAAGTCACTGCAGAGCCCAAGAGCAGAGAGACACAGCACAGTGTGGAGGCAAAAGGTGCCCACAGGGGCCGTTCCTGGCTGAGGCTTCCAGAGGGCAGTGGGATAGCAACCCTGAGTGCCCCTGCCACCGCCAGCCGCCTACCACGGCATTCATGACACGGGCTTCGGAGCGTGAGTCGGGCTCTATCTAGCAAGCCAGGGCAAATGCGGCAGCTGGCAGCACCTGCACCCCACAGCCCGGGAGGCCGCCCCTGTCGGCTGGCCCCTGGGTTGTGCAACGTGTGGGGGTCCTGCCCCAGGGAGGGGGCAGCCCAGGGAGGGGCCCAAGGGTGTGACACGGCCAAGCTGTCACTCTTCCCCGGAGAGGCAGCTGGAAACGCAGCTGGGAGGGGAGCCAGCCTGGGGCCAGCAGGTGGGTAACAGGTGGGGCAGTGGGAGGGGCACGCACCATCCGCCTAGGGCTGGGGTGTAGAGATGGAAACCTGTCCCCCAACACCTGGCGCAGACCCAGCCTCCCCCTAGGGCCTCGAGCACCTTCCCAGTTGTGCCTGCACCCTGCAGGGGGAAGCCAACCCTTTTCCTTGTAGTCCAGGGCCAGTGGAAGAGGGAGATACCCCAGTGAGCAGGATCCTAGCCTCTGCCTGGTGAGGCCAGGAAATGAGCCACCGGGAAGAGGGAGCTGCTCTCTCTGTGCATTTGGAGCGGGGAAGCAAGGGTCCCTGAGGCCCCCCCCCTGGAGCCACCAGAGTTATGGTTCAGGAGGAGCCGCTCTGGCTAGCTGCACTGGGGAGACCTGGGAGCAAGAGCAGCCTGGAGAGCAGCAGGGACCCCCTCGGGGACACGCCGCCACCTGGGGCAGGCCTGGTGGCAGGAGGCCTCACCCGGGCCCTTCAGGCTGGGTGACTTCTGCAAGACATTGAAGGCAGTGGCCTGAGATGGTGGGAGGTGACTGAGAGCAGCCATAGCCAGAGAAGCTGAGCCTGAGAGCACAGGGGAAGGTCTAGCAGGCCAGGGCCCCCATCCCAAGCACGAGGCTTCTGCCTGTGTCCCCTGGGCCAATGGGGCCTCACGCGAAGGGTGCCTTCCGTGGCCTAAGGCTGGTTCCCCAGTGGAACGCCTGCATCCAGGCAGAAAGGGGAGCACAGAAGCGAGAGCCCGAGACCCAGCCCCCTCCGCCAGGGTCCCTGGCCCGCCTTGTCCCCAGCGCTGACAGCCAGACAGCCGCTCTGGGCCTGAGTCCCTGTCTGCAAGGGCCAAGCAAAGTGGTTGGCTCTGCGCTGGGGGACAGGAGGCGCTGCAGTCACGGGGCCAGTGTTCCTGGGTCTCTTCAGTGTGGCTACTCCTAGAGGGGATGGACTTGAGGGCACGGAGGGCACAGAGGTCTGGCACACCCGGCCTGCTGGGAGCAGGGGCTCGGGAAGATCCTAGCAGCACGTGGCAGCTAAGCTCGGGCCTGTGGGAGCCACAGAAGGTTCTTGGGGGAGAGGCTCAGAGGAGCAGAGAGCCAAGAGCCCCCAACTGCCCCAAGGTGGGGTGCAGAGTAGAGCCAAGAGCTAAGGCACGGGCCCACTGCCATCCTTGGTGACCCTGGGTGAGACTCAGCCAGGACCGGGACCACGAGGATGGGGTGGTGCTGATTGGAGGAACCTGAGGGACACATACCAGACCCAGGTGAGCCCCGGTGGGGAGGAGGAGCCACGCTGCCCGGGAGTGCCAGGAGGCTAGGACGGTGGGCACTTGGGGCCAAACGCCGGCCCTGGGGAAGCAGGGAGCCAGCACCAGGAAGGGTCTCTGGAGCCCCCTTCCCAGTGGTGAGAACTCGGCCCCAGCCTCAACTTCCTGGGCCTAGAGTCTTCAGCTGTAAAATGGATGGGTGACTCCCACTCAGCAGGAGGCACTGGGATCTTCTCTGCTGGCACCAGCTTCCTGCTTCCCCAAGGTGGGTGCTGTTGGGCAGTGCCCCTGGAGCCTGTGCTGCGCTGTGAGAGGAGGCTGAGCCACTCGCAGTGGCTGGGTCCCCTGCCTGCCGCGAGGAGCCCCACACCCAGGTCCTTCTGAGCTTCTGCCACACAGATCACATATGGAAGGCTCCCTGGAGGAGGCAGCGCCTGGACTTGGACACCTGCCTGCAGAGCTGGCTTTCCTCACAACCCTGGGAGGACGGACCTCCGCTCCTCGGTGGGCTGATTGAGGGGGAGGGTGGAGCCTCCCTCCTCCACGGCACCAGCCCAGTGCTTGGGGTGACACAGGGGCATGGTCACAGGGAGCCGGAAGCTGGTGGGGGTGGGAGGTTCTGCCCCCATGGACTTTATATGCGGAAGCCCGCATGGCCGAGCAGGGACCCAGGGTCAGCCCAGGAAGGCCGTGAGAAAGGAGACCGCGGGCCCCGCTTCATCACACAGGGAGGAGGCACTGTGCCCCCTCCCCCGCAGCTGCCTCTAGGCCCTTCGGGTGGGCAGAGGCTTGTTGTGGTAGAAAGCCCAGCCCCCGCCAGCAGCATTGCCTTCTGACATCGGCAGCCCTTTGTAAACTGGGGGGACCCTACAGGGCCTCTCCTTGCCTTCTCACTGTGGGGCAGCGTTTGGGGGCCTCTTAGGGGACCCCTATGTGCTTCCACTCAGAGCCCGCAAAGCTAAGGAGCCTCCACTCCCCTGTCTGCAGACTTCCCTGCTGGTTGTTGCTACCCAGGGCTCAGTGGCCTGGGGGCTGACGGAGGGGGGCTCCCCTGCCACGGCCCCTCCTGGCACCTACCCGGCTCATCTGGCCCACCTCCCTCCCACGTTGGCTCAGGCAAAGTGCTCGGGTGCCAGGAGCCCCTCGTGCCCAGTCCCGGATCCTTCTTGGCCTTCACCCCACCTGGCCTCCCCTGGAACCCTGGCCTGGGTGTTAGGCCTGCTGGGTCCAGAACCCACCCCGCCCTGAACGGCCCGTGCCTCAGCCTCCCTCAGCTCTCACCCATTTCTTAGCCGGGGGTGGGGGAAGGCTGGGCCTGAGGTCTCAGCCCCGGGAAGGGTTATGGGGGGGACCAGATCCTCGCCTCAGCACTGCCCCCACCATCCCCAGCCTCCCTCCTCTGTGGGGCTCCCTGCTTTTCTGGCTGCCCCCCACATGGCCACCACCTGCCCCCCACCACCAGGCTAGCCCAGGCTTTGTTCCGGCCTTCTTCTCTGTCCATCTGGGATGGCCCAGGGCATAATTCTTCCATAGCGGCTGCCTCGCTCCAATTCCTCCCTCCTCCCTCCATCCCTCCCCTTCTCCTTCCCATCCGCCTCCCCCACTCCCTCCTCTTTCTATCCTTCCCTCCTTCCCTCTCTCCTCTCTCCCTCTCTCCATCTTTCCTTAGCCAGCCGTTTATTTTGTCAGGTGCTAGGGACCCAAAGACCAAGGAGTGAGATCTCCTCCCTGCCCTGATGAATCTCAGCAGTTGCCAAGAAACCAGCGCTGACCCCTGCTGTGGATCAAGAAGCACAGGGGGGAGCTGGCAGGAAGTCTCTTAAAGAGGCGCTCCGGTGCCTGCTCTGAGCCCGGGGGCGCCTTGGTGGGCAGGGCCCTGGCCGGGAGGAAGGGGTGCAGTGGCCATGGGTATGTCTAGGAGTCCCCGGGGAGGCACAGCCAAGGGGAAAGAGAGCTGGCCCCCCCAACCCTGCATAGCCCTCCCCACCCTCCCCAGACCCTTCCACACACAGCCCTCCCTTCCTCCTGGACCACCCCTCCTCAACCCTCCCCACCCTCCCCAGACCCCTCCACACACAGCCCTCC